AAAGTGCGTGCAGAGAGAGAAACATCATTTTTTTAGTGAAGTTAGATGCTGTTTGTGCTCCTCTTTCATTCATATGTCTACTCCATTTTCTAGTCATCTTCTCCAACAAAAGCCTCAAGTTTCAAAAGTCCTCCTCCAACATCGCCAACTACAGTCAAAGTGCAGAGGGCAGCAAACTGGTGGCCAACACTCCAAAGAAGACCTCAATGGACGATGACTTCTTCAGCATTAGCAGCAACAGCAGCAAAACACGACGCAGTCCGCTTCGATTTCTGGGCAACCTAGTCGACGCTGATAAGCTGTTCAGAGGCAGGTGGAGCTCGGCGAAGCGCGCCAAGTCAACGGACGAAATAACCTGGGCACTGGCTAATGAAGATCTGGGAACTGCTAACAATGCCACCTCTGCACACATGTTGAAAGATTCAGGCAGGACGAGAAAAAAGTCTCTTGGCATTATGAGCACAAACAGCACCAGCAGGTTTGACATCTGCGTCTGTGGAATAATCAGGCGTTATTAACTCAATTTGCTTTTTGTCGATTTTCCCAGTAACAACACCGAAGATGCACAGGATAAAAAGCGATACAAATCAGGCGGTGAGAAGGCTAAAAACATGGGTGATATGATCTGCAAGAAACTATTTGACGAAGGGTACCACTGCAATAAAAAGGACAGCACAGCATCAGCTTCGGCGGGAGTGGGCAAGTCGATTGACCTGAAGAGCAGAAAGTCCTCTAATACTTCCTCGGACTTGCTCTCCATTTCCGGCTCTTCAGTGGCCTCACTTACTGATCATGGACCTTTCGGCGGTGTTGGAACTTCACCTTCGTACAACACATCACCTCTTCATGGCCAAGCAGAAGCAAAGGGAGAAGTAAGAGCAGAGACGCTGGCGGAAATTGAGGTAACATTACAACAGCATTAGTAGCATCTTACAACTATTCTGATAAATTCTACTTTTTTAACTTTCTACCACTCAGGCATTTGAAGAGCTACTGAAAAACCACTTACAAGACTGAGTATCGCTTTTAAACTGGCAGCATTTTATATTCTATAACATCATTCCAAAAAGCAGTAATTTTGACGTGAAATACCCACACAACAACAACAACTCACTTGTTGCATTATGAAAAACGTACAGTTTAATTACAAATGAAGGAAAATTTAAGTTAAAAATCACGTAAATGCAATCATATATAAATAAATAAGTAAAGAAGAGAACGCAGTCAGAAGGGCGGTCATAGAGAAACAGAAGTGACATCGCTAACACCGTATATCATCGCAGTAGGCGGGAACTGATCAGTCATCTGTGTGAGATGCTGAAGGTAGTGACTGTTTTCATTGCGGTTAAGTGACGGAGCAGGCAGGTAGAGCAGTAGCAGAGCAGAATTTTGACTGTAAGTCTTTACGAAGCTGTTCACATTAGCAAAGTACTGCTGCTTGATGCTCATTTCAGAGTTGATCATGTCCACCTCGTAGGAGCCTAATATTTCATCCTTCCATTCAGCCAGTACTACTTCGCATTCAATTCTAAGCTGCTTCAAACGCCGCTCCCAGATTTGTTGGATATGCTGAGGGCTCTCGTACTTGCTCGATGCAAAGACACGAAGCTTGGTGCTATTTTTCCAGCCGGGCACCATCTGAAGAATGCAAGCCATCTGGAGGATAAACTTCCACGATTGGTCAGGAATTTCTTTTGTGTGCGAGAAAAAGTTGATTGGCCAAATGTCGATTATTTTGTTTTTCATTTTAGGAATCTTATCCTGAAAAGAAATTTTTTGTCAGTTTTACAACAAACTTTTAAAAACTGTCTACTTACCCGTTGAAATTTGTTAAAGTACCGTCCAATGCAAACATTTTTCTGAAATTTGAAAATAGCTTCATGGATAAGAGCGACATAGTCTTCTGCGGAGATGTTTCGTTGATTTTCATTTCGCAGCTTGAGAAATTCCGTCTCATTCATAACACTGTTTCTAATGAGCTCATAGCTGGGATCATTATGAAAAAAGTCCACCTGCTCTTCTTTGTCATAAAATCCAAATATGACTGTATTCGCTTTCATTGCTAAAAAGAATCATACGGTAACATAGCAAAACAAACAATTAATCTGTTACTCACCTCCCAGACCACTGATGCGTACTAGGTGACCGAATCCTTCACGAACCGTAGGCGCCAACGTCACTTCAAAGAAAGCCTTCACCGCAAGCATGTCCAAAAGCTTCAGCCACATTGGATACTCATCCATGATGGGGTCTACCGTGTAGTTGTCCAGTGAGCCTAACTTAACGTGACCAATGATGAAAAGGCCGCTCTTCTTTAGATCATTTACAAATCGAATAAGTGGAATTGAAGATCGCGGGTTAGACACCATTAGCAAAATGTGCGGTCGCCAGTACTTGACGTGGTTTTTTCTGCTATCCAGCACGAGCAAGTATTTGCGCACCTGATGATTCAACAAAAAATGTTTGAATATTTTGCCAAAAAAATTGGTTTTTTACCTGATGAAAAATGAGCGCCTGAGTTATAGATCCCCAGCGAAGAGGCGGCGAGCGAATGTGCAGCAAAATGACCAGTAAAAAGCAGAGAAGAATGGTGACAGCCGCGTAGACACTGTTTATGACAAACATCATCACGAGGCAGCCAATGATGCCAATGGTTGCCGTCTTCCAGGTGAAGTACTTGAAGGTGGGGCGAAAGTTGGGTGCCGAAGTGAGCGTTAAGCAGAGACAGGCCAAGTTGGTGGCAAAGTAGGAGAGGAGAAAGAAGACCGAAGTAATTTGTGCTATCAAGTTCAACTTGTTCACAAAGATAATACACTGAATAAGAAGCCAGGTGAAGAGAACTGCGACCACGGGGTTCCCCGGACGATGGTACTTCATGACTGGATTGAGAAGAGAGCCAAAGAGTTTGTCTCGTGAAAGTGCTTCCAGAACACGAGAGGCGCCAATCAAGTTGCTCAACGAAGCTGAGAAGGTGGCTGCAAAAATGCCAATGGCTACTAATACTGGAGCGTAGTTGACTGACTGCATATACAGAAAGTTGTTCTGCAACAGTTCTCTGATTTGATTGGAAAAATTGCTATTTAAAAAGAGTTTGTGCAATGAAGATTGAGGAGAAAACATACCGAGGGCAAGTGAATGCAGTAAGGGTGAACAAAATCAGATATGTGATAAAGGTAAAGATGACAGCCCGAATTGTGCCTTTTGGAATTGATTCAGCTGGATCTTTCAGTTCTCCGGAGATGTTGGCACCGGCCATAATTCCGGTAACGCCGCTAAACAAAACTCCAAATACGACAGGAAAAGAAGTTTGTCGGTAGTCGGTAGTATAGTCCAGAGTAAAATTTGCTAAAAAGAAAAAATAAACCGTTAATGATACCATATCTATCAAACATTAAGTTTCTTACGCATCAAGTTATTGTAAAATGTGTCCAAACTGAACCCACTGAAATCAGTGGTATTCCGGTTAAAAGTTGTGTTGAAGTTTACGTTTTCTTCGGGTATGGAAACAAGCAAGTCGTAACGAGAAACGAAACTCACTATCACAGAGCCAGTGCAAATCATCACGACAAAGAAGACAATTACTGAGGTCTTGGCAAACAGTCCGGCGCCAACCAAACAGATGATGACGTTGAGAAAGTTCAAACTTGAGCCATAGATGATAGAATACCAGTAGTTGGAGGGCAGAAAGGAAACTATTCCGCCTGATGGTCCAAAATTGTTGATAATGCCCTCCACGCAGCCAGTCAGGTAGAGAGCACTTGAAAAGACGTTGGCAATGAAGAAGAGAGTTCCCACACTGCCACCAAACTCAGGTCCAAGAGCTCGGCTTATCATGTCTGAAAAGTTTAAAGCGTAAAGTTAAAACAAGTTACTTATTTCAAAGGTTCTTACAGTAAACTCCGCCGCCTTGAATGGCTCCATTTGTTGCAATTGCACAAACACTCAGCACCGTAAAGAAGAGGATAATGTAGGCGAGGAGCAATTCAACAACTGTGAGATACAGTCCAGAGTTTCCCAAGATAAAGCCTACAAGAAAAAAACTTTAATTTTAATTTTAAGTAAAACTATACTTGCCTAGTCGAAGGAAAAGAATAGCACTAAACATTGATAAAGCGACGGGAGCAAACACGCCGGAAAAGGCAGTCAAAGTTCGGAAAGGGTCTTCGCCTATCTCAACCGTCGGAGATGTTGGGCTACTGTCACCAGACTCCGGTGAAGAATTGTTCAAAGAATCCCTAAAATTAGATTGGAAAAAAACATTATGCATTGCATAGACAAAAGAAACAGCAAACCTTGTTTTGAAAGGATTCATAAAACTGAGTCGTCCTGAAGACTCCATTGAGTCATCGAGTTCACCCTCTGAATCGTTGATCAGTTGACGATCCATGGTGGCAATTCACTCGGTGAATAGTTCACCACTACAAACTACTGAAAGTGGCAAATGCAGCAAGTTAAAACTCTACAAGAGCAGCTGATGTGCAGTTCAACATAGAAGATCCGTATGTGCGTATCAAGAGAGCCGATGACAATCGCCGATAGATTATTATTAGAATTCGATGGGGAGTTTGCGTGTACACTGGATAAATGCAGTTGGCGTTGGTAGAACGCACCAGTGTTTCAGCGCTTCTGACATCTAACTCAACACTGAAGTTTAAATGTTGTTGACCAAATACAAACAGCTGATGGTGATGAGAAACAAATGCGCTACATCGCACAAAGATAATAGAATAGCAGCAACTCTAATCAACTGTGACAACTGAGCTCTGAGCAAGTGCAACAGTTGAGCGAATCGGATAAACGATGACAGACCAAAAAGATGCCAGTACGATACAAGAAACACTGCACAAATGGAAATGGGATTGTACAGAGTCGGCCTACGACAGCTGACAGACACTCTCAAGTCATCACAACAGATTTAATGATCACTGAACATGTGGCCGAAAAAACAGGTGCTCAAAAGTGCGACTGACATGCCCATCTTCCGGCAAGCAACATCACTAAAAGAGCATTTCAGTGGCAAAGCTCAACGGACACCACAAAGAAAGTATTTGATTAAAAAGTAAGACAGAGTTTAGTTAGTTTTAAAGTGTTAAAAACATTAGACCAGTTTGAAATGACCATTTTCTAGTAAAGTATTAGAAGCTCAAATAACTCAAATTGAAGTTCAGGCGGCTATCGTCTACACTAGAAAAACAAATAGACAACTGGCACACACAAACTCGCTGTGCATTGCAAATCATAG